CAATTTTGCCAACACCATTTGTTAAAAAGGCTGTCGTTTCCCCACTTCACTGATTTCATCTCCTTGTCAAAAATCAGTTGACCATAGATAGATGGGTTGATCTCTGGATTCTCAATTCTATTCCATTGATCTATGTGTCTGTCATTGTTTTTGACCTCAACCTTCAACTAAATTTTTCAAACATGATAGTTAAATAATACAAATAACCATAAATGCTCTTCAAGCACAGTAATTTCATTCACTAAATAGCTCATTGCCGAATACCACATGCTAGTCTAAGTATTTGCTACAATTATATAAGTCTTTCTTGATTGCATATTTGTATTCATATCATTCGAAGATGTATTTAAAGAAATGTTGTTTTGGCTGTTATATACCATCAAGTCCATCCTGACTCATAGCTGACCCTGTAGTGGGTTTTCAGAGGCCATAAATCACTTGGAAGGAGATCTCTGTCTGTTGCAGAAACGTCTTATGGATTTGAACCATATACCGTTGGGCTGGCAGCACAACTCCTTAGCAATACGCTGTAAATGCAAAGCATATGGTTTCTTTTTGATAATTTTTTAATAGATTTTTTAGCAGTTAAAAAAAAACAAAACAAAACCCTGGGAAGGATTATAGCACTCTCCTTGATCCCTCTGACAATTTGAGAGTCCCATTTGTTTAGAGGTGTTGATATTTTATATCAACACCTCTTGAGATGTTAAACTCAAGTATTGATGTGTGTCAATTTATTTTATTTTCATGTTTGCGTCTTCGCCATCATCTTTCTACGTGCCAGAAGATTTGAATGGTCTTATACTCCTCGTTTATGTTGGGAGCCAAATTAGGTAAATATTTAATTCTGCCTTCCTCTCTCTATTTTAGCTGGACCAGACCAATTTTGAGGAAAGGGTACAGACAACGCCTGGAATTATCAGACTTATACCAAATTCCCTCGGGTGACTCTGCTGACAATCTCTCAGAAAAGCTGGAAAGGTATGAATATGGCCACTGTTAATTACAGAGAGACATTTATATGCTTAATTATTTCAGGAATAGAAAGGGAATGAATTCAGGCACTATTTTTGAGCCCGAGTGACCCTTCACTAGAATATAAAAGTGCTGTAAACCTTTATGAGAAGAGACTGCCGTATCTTTCTCCCTCAATATCCAAGGTAGATTTGAACTTCTCACCTATGGTTAGCAGTCTGTCACATTACACTGTTGGGCTCCTTAACACTTCAGCTTAATGCAGCAGCTCAGTTGCTGTCAAGATGGAACCAACTTGTACATAATCTTCCATTGGGTTTTAGTTTTTCTAATTATTAATTTGAATGAAAGTTTACAGAGACTTACAGTTACCATTCATTCATTGTTGCACTTTTCTCCCTGCCCACCCCTTCTTCTCAATTCACTCTTTAAAAAGTAAAAGAAAAACTCTTTCATTGTTATTCGGAGGCAGTAAAGCCCAAGAGGAGAGATGGCCTGCCTGTCTTTCTCCCACAGAGCTCCTGTTTCATTTGCCTTTCCAGAGTGATGTGGCTTTTGGATTAACAGTACAATTCCCAAGGACAATGCCACCAGAGCTCACTAGTTAACATGTTGTTATGTTCCACCAAGTCACAGCTGCCTCAAAGCTGACCCTCCAGCGGGTTTTGGGAGGCCAGTAATTGCACAGGAGGGCACTGCCCATCTTTCTTCTACAGAGCAGCTGATGGATTCACACTGCATGCCTTCAGGTGGGCAGTGCCACTGAGCCAGATTAGATGATATAATTTTTTTTTATTTTGTAAATCATTTAATTTCTTAAATGTAGTTGGGAAAATTGTGTAATTGTTAGTTTCTAAATTTCTCCACTTAAACTGTCAGATATTATAGTAATTGAAATATTTATTTTATTGAATTAAATTATAGTCTTAGCATTTAGAGTAAGTCTTCCATTTTTATTATACATGGTATTTTTAAAAAAAATTTTGTTTTACTTTTGTTTGTATACAAAGTTCCTATACATTATCTTTCACACTATTTTACTTTCACATTGAGTTTCATACAATCATTTTTATTCATTATGGTTTTTTAAAATTATTTTATTATTATTAATTTTATTGGAAATTTACAGAGACTTTGGTTCTTACAATCTTGTTTTTAAAAATAGGACATCTTAATTCCTTAGTAAATGATTTTATGTTACTTCTAAAATCCTAATGTATGAAGATAAATCTACTTCTTGGGAAATCTTATACTAATGACTATTGCATATGAAGGAAAGAAAAAGTTTCTTATTTTAGTGCAACTGTTACATGCCCAATAGAGTATTAAGTATAGAAGATGAGTACTTGCTAATGCTAATGCTGAGCTTTTGCTGTGTTCATGTACTGTGAAGACAGTGATCTTTTTGTATTTGCTTTTGTTTCATTAAATTCTAATGTGTCCAAAAGCCTGGCCTGTAGTTGTTATGTGCTGTCGAGTCTGCTGTGACTCATAGCCACCCTATGTACAACAGCCTTAAACCCTCCTCTATCGTGTGCCAACCTCACTGTCTCTGACACACCCATCCCGATTACCCCTGTAACTAAATCAGTCCACCTCATCGAGGGTCTTCCTCTCTTACGCTGTCCTTCCACTCTCCCAAGCATGATGTCCCTCTCCAAGAACTGATCCCACCTTGCAGCATGTCCAATGTATGTCAGACGAAGCTTCAGAATCCTTGCTTCCAAGGATCAGTCCAGCTTCACCCTCTCTCCAGGATGAACTTTTTTGTTCTCCCTGCAGTCCATGGTATATTTAATACTCTTCTCCAGCACCACAGCTCAAAGGCATTAAGTCTCCTTCAATCATCTCTAGTCATTGTACAGCTTTTTGATGCACAGCAAGTAATTGCAAAGACCATGACCTTTATCAAGCGCACCTTAATCTCCAGACTGACATCGTTGCCCTTCAGTACTTTGGAGAGGTCCCTGACAGCAGACTTTTCCAACGCAATTCATCTTTTAATTTCTGGCTGCTGGTACCAGTGTTTCCTCTGTTCTGATGACTGCCTCCTGGTCCAAGTATAGGTTTCACATTAGCACAATCAAGTGTTCTGGGATTCCCATTCTTCTCAGAGTCAACCACAGTTCACTGTGATCTACACCGTCAAAGGCCTTTGCATAGTCAATGAAACACAGATAGACATTCCTCTGGTACTCTCTGCTTTTGGAAAGATTTACCTGACATTAGCTATAATAAATTTTTGAATGAATGATCAAATGTAAAATGGCTAACAGTATGTACAAACCTATATTTCTGAGAAAATATAGTAAACATAAATCATTATAGATATAAATGAATTCAAATTATATAGGAGATGTTGAATTTCTAAGTCCTGAAAAGATGATAAAAGAAAAATTAATCAGAATACAGATAGGTGTATCGAAAACTATATATCCAGTCTGTATTTTTATTTGTAGCTGATACAGAGGACCTACACATGAATTTTTTGTTGGATTATTCGCCTCTACATAATATTGTCATTCCTTCTCAGATTTCTTAGTGTCCCACTAATTTAAAAGTATACCTAATTTGTTTTAATTCAGCAATATAATATGAGCTTATGCCATAAACCCTGCCCTTATTTTTTTCTCTCTCTTCTTTTCACCTTGTTGCTAACTTTTCTTAGAAAAGTACTTAGAATTGACTGAAAGAGTGGCATACCCATTTATAACAGGTGGTGCCTTAGGAAGTGACCAGGACCTCAAATAAGTGCTTGTGGCAGATGTCCTCTGCTGCTTCCCACATACATGACATGTGATAGTCCACCACATAGATGATATGCATGGTAGTCACCAGATTCAGCTTGTAGCAATGGGGCTAATTCCTCCACACACCCAGATCATAATTACAAGTCAAATAAGAGATACTTAAATATAGAGTGTCTTCCTTCATGTGTTAGCTCCTGGTGTTTGGAATTCTCACTGGACTTGGTACGCAGCTGTAGAGCACTTACTCTTGTTGCAAACTCTTTCCCTCAGGCTACATGTTGTTCTAGTTCTACTCTATCCTTGCTTTCCCCTCATCCTTTCTTCTTATTATTTTACTTTTTTCTTTCATAGCCAACATTTTTATGCCTTGCTCGTCTCTCCACTTCATCACATTTCATTTCTATATCAACTTTCTGAAATCTGCCATGTCCCTAAAACAAAATTGTTTAAATTGTAAAAGAAGCAAGAATAATGAGGGATGGCTGAGTCTGACTTGCACTAACTAAACAAAGGAGAGCTATTTCCATCAATAACATCCAGTGTAGAAAACTGAACCCTTGGTAAGACATGGCCCTCCATACTGTTCACTTGCTTCCATTAATTGCCACATCTGATATTTGTTGCAAAAGTTGTAGATTTAATTAGGGAATCAGGTTGTGAAGGGTGAAGGAGGTTCCCTAGGGTAAGTACCTAGATTTAGTCCAGCACAAAAATTCGAGAAGCCTTTGGGCTTTCTCAATTATCCAGCAACCCTTGTCTCATAGCAATCCCAAGTCAGCTCTTCCTTCAGTCATCCAGAAGCAAGGCCTTTAACTCTGGTTTTATCTCCAGAGTTCTGTCAGGCTGTGCCTCACAGCGATCTCTCCTCATTCTCTTTAGCTCTTTCTCTTCTCTTGGTCTCACAGCTGTTGATAATGTTGAAGGCCCTAATCAACTGTGAACTGAACCACATGTTCACAGTTAAAGATGCTGGAGACAAGAGGGATTAAGACATGGATAGAAAAGCCATTTTTTTTAGAGATCTAACATCACAGTCCCCTTTGTACTATCAAGTATAATGATATCTTCCTACTTGATGTCAATGTGGACCACTTTTCCCCCATCCTAGCACTTTTTAAAAAAAGTTAATATACCACTGTTTTTTCCTGGTTTACCAATATGCTCAATCTTGCTTCAAAGGAGAGGATGAATTTGCCTCCAGACTTGGCATCTTTTTATAATATGAATAAACTGAAAGCAAGTTTTGTGTGTATGTGTGTGTGTTTGTGTATGAGAGAGAGGAGATGGTGTGTAGTGAGGAAGAGTGAAGGAGGCAGGTAAAGAGAGGGGATGTTACTGCACAACACTGATTGGGAACCAACCTATAGCTGCCTCTCCAGCAGCTTTCACAGGCACAGGAGGTTACTGATCTTTCTCCTGTGGAGCAGCTGGTGGATTTGAATCACATACCTCTGTGTTGGTAGTGCACTCCCTTGGCACTAAACTACCAGAGCTAAGCCTGATAATCAGTTGCTGTTGATTCCAACTGATGGCGACCTCATGTACATCACAGTTGAAGTGTGTGTCATGAGACTTTCAATGACTCACGTGGTTGAAGTCTATTTACCAGGAATTTCCACCCACCAAGACAACTGTCTTTGAACTCGAATCCTCAACTTTTTGATTGGCAGCCAACCATGTTGTTTCTAGGGAAAGCCTAGGTCCAGGCACTGAGATTGCGAAACCTGCCTTTAAATGCTAGGTATAGTTTCTTCCTTTGGAACAGTGTCTGCTATGGGAGTGTCATAGGAATAGGAATGAAAGCCACTGGTAAAACGAAAGCTTTTATTCGACTCTATAGTTATCCCTGGAAGTTTATAAAATTTGCATCTACGCAAACTTTAAAAAGTGAGATAAAAAAAGTGAGATGATGGTGACATTAATGGGCATTTTATTCCACTGGAAAAAGAGGAGTAGATCTTCCATAACAGAGAGCATACAAAACAAAACAAAACAAAACAAAACAAAACAAAACAAAACACACAAAACAAACCAGAGAGCAGTGGCTTAAATAGAATCAGCTGATGAGCCTGTAGGCTTCGTAAGAAAACAAGTGTTTATTTCAGCCAGAGTTTTCAGATAAATTCTTATTCTTAGAAGACAATGTGTAATTTGATCTTGTTCTCATTTTTTAAAATTTTTTTCTTCTAATAAACAACTTTCTTGTTTGTTGTTGTTATGTATCATTGAAAGGGTTTTAGTAGTTGAAAATAAAATTTTCTATTTACTTCATATTTCTAATTTAGAGAGGAACATAATCAGCTTCTCTAGCCTAAAGTTACAGAGTAATCCATCTGACTTTATCTTGTTTTTGATGTGACCATTAAGTTTTATAAAATCTATATTTCAAACCAGATAAAGGTCAAGAAGGGAAGGAAAAATGTTAGTGTGATTATCAGCTTATTTTTTCTACTTGTTTTAATTAGAACAATATGTATTTACATGTCACACTGGGTCTACCCTTTGCATTGTTATTAAGAAGTTGACACTTTGACTGCATGCAGAGTGGCTTTTCCATGGAGCCGACTCCCTGCAGGATAATATATGGCAGGGCAATTGAATTCTGCCAAATATGTGACTCAGCACTTGGTATTGGAGAGTCTCCAGAAGGCTCTATCTCTTTAACCACTTGAGTTCATCTCCTTGGATATACTTGCATGAATTAAACTATGTTAAGGTCAATAGAACTACTCAAATATTTTCACATAAAACTGACTGGTTCGCTTTTTTTTCTTTCTTTTGCAGAGAATGGGACAGAGAGTTGGCATCAAAGAAAAATCCCAAACTCATCAATGCCCTTCGGCGGTGCTTTTTCTGGAGATTTATGTTCTATGGAATCTTGTTATACTTAGGGGTAAGAATCTTGTTTGCAAACTGGTTATGGATGTAATATTTATATGGTTTTTTAATTATTCAAGAGGAACTAGGACAACCTAGAAGGAGCCATGGTGGCATAATGTTTGAGAATTCAGCCTGTAACGAAAATGCTGCTGCTTTGAACTCACCAGACACCCTATAGTAGAAAGAACTGGTAATTGGCTCCCTAAATAGTAGAGCTTTGGAAATCTTGTGGGACAGTTCTTTTTCCTGTTGGGTCACTATTAAAATCAACTTGATGGCCTAAAAAACACAGGGTGTTCTTATGTTAGGCTGTTGTTGATGCTGTCGAGTTGGTTGTGACTTCCATGACCTGATGTACAATTGAAGGTCATTCTGCCTGATCCAGCCCTGTCCACACAATCTCAGCTGTGCCTAAACCCATCATTACAGTCACCATGTTTTAAAGTGACTTTCAACATGAGAGTCTAATCTTCCAAAACTATACAAAACAAACAGTGTTCTGGTGTTGTTCATAGGGCTTTTAAGGACATAGTATTTCAGAAATGAACAGAACTGCTTCCTAGTCTGGAAATTCCACTGAAACATATCTGCCACAGGTGACCCTGAAGGTATTTGAAATACCAGTGGCAGAGCTTTGACCATCACAGCAACACTCATACCATGACAGTGAGACAAACTGACAGTCAAGTAGTGGTGTAAAAGTAAAACGTACACGTAAAATCCAAACGTTAACAAACTACCTAAAACTCTTGTTGAATATACTTTGGAAATAATATGTCCTGGAACAGAGATGACAGCACACAGTTTAAAATGGGTTCAGTAAGATAAATCGATTATTTAAAAGAATTATTTTATGTTATCATTCAAAATCACGTTATCTTCCTTGTATATAAGATTATCAATGCCTCCATTTTTCTGTTTTTAACACGAGAATATCAGGAGATAGTATCAGATGAGGAATTAGGTCAAGTTCATTCAATTACAAATAAGAATTGCTATAATATTTTTTAAATTATAGCTTGAAGCTACATCATTTCAAGGAAAATTTTAAAATTCGACAGCTAAGTATTCTTGCAATATTTTTTTTTTCTCATTCTACTGACTTTTGGTGAGTGAAGATGGTTCTCTAGTAAAAACCCCAGATGGTTAAATGTAGTCTGGAACATTCCCCAATTATTGTCAAATGAGACCCTGATCTTTTATTTTCTGTAACACCAGAGCATTGTTTTGAGTCCCAGCGGTAATATTTAAAGTGAGTGACAAGTTGAAAATTTATACTAGTTTCAAAGAAAGACTGCAGGGGATTTTTGCATTGAGATGTTAACCACTATGCAGATTGACTAGCATTGTGTTTACATTACTCATCATGTCTTTGGGAGTTAGCTATACCATAGTGTCTCCTGAAAAAAAAAGAAATTGCATTATTTAGAGAAATTGTACACCAGGAAAAAGAAAATTATTTTATCTTGATAAAGGTAACTACAATTAGGTATATACAGAATATTTAAAAATACTCCTGATAATCTAGAAAAATTTTTACAACTTTTGAAATAATAATGGCCAAGTCTCTCTTTCAAGTTGTGTGTGCATGAATGCATGTGTGTGGGTACCTATACAGTAGTGCTGGTAGGTGCTGTCAAGTCAACTAAGACTCACAGCAACTCTCTGAATAATAGGTCTGAATATCCTACACAGTGCTTACAATTTCTTATACTCAATTCCGCTGGAGTAGTCACCATGTCAATCCATGTCATTGAAGGTCTTTCTCTCTTTCAATGACCCTCTACATTCCCTGCATCATATCTCAGTCTAAGGACTAGTTCCTTCTGAAAATATGCCCTAAGTAAGTGAGATGAAGGTTCACTATCCTTGTCTATGAGGAACATTCTGGTTGTACTTCCTTCAAAGACATTTGTTTGTTCTTTTGGCAGTCCATGAGAGATCCAGTCTTGTCCAACACCACAATGCAATGTTATCAATTCTTCCTCAGTCTTCCTTATTCATTGTCCAACTTTTAGATGAATTGGAAGCCAGCCTTGAATCAGGTGCATATTAGTCTTTCAACTAATATTCTTGCTTTTTAGAACATTGGAAAATGAAAAAGATCTCCCCATTGCAATATGTCTTTTTATTTCTTAACTATTGCTATTAAGGATGTTGATTTTGTATTCAAGTAAAATAAATTTGTTGACAAGTTCAGTCTTTTTTCTACATCTTTCATGATGTTGCTTATTGGTCTAGTGGTAAGGATTTCTGTTTTCTTGATATTGAGATGTAACTCATATTGAACACTGTAGTCTTTGATCTTCTGAACTATGTACTTCAAATTGTCTTCACTTTTTACCATCATCTGCACGATACAAGTTGTTGATAAGTCTTTCTTAGATCCTCATGCCACTTTCTTGTTCACATAGTCCAACTTCTCAAATTATTTTCTCAGAACTAATAGATGCGGAGAAAGGATGCAATCTTGATGCGGAGTTTTCCTGATTTTAAATTGTACAGTGTTTCCTGGTTATGTTATGTATACCTATATGTAGCTGTTGTTGTTGTTGTGAGTTATTGAATCGATTATGACTACTAACAACCCTATGAACAACAAATCTGAACCCTATTCTGTCCTTTGTCACCCTTATAATCTCTGGGCCCATTGTTGTAGTCACTGTGTGGGTCTTCCTCTTTTCATAGTCTCTCCAACCTTGCCAAGCATGATGTCCCTCACCAAGGAATATCATCTCCTAGCAACATGCCCAAAGTATGTGAGACAAAGCTTTATCATTTTTGCTTCCAAGGAGGACCCTGGCTACCCCTTTTCCAAGACGTATAAGTATATTCTTTTGGAAGCCCACGAGCTATTCAATATTATTCCCCAATACCACAACTCAAAGGCATTAATTCTTCTTCTGTCATCCTTATTCATTGTCTAGCTCTCAGATGCATAGCAAGTGATTGGAAAGACTATGGCCTGAATCAGGAACACCTCGATCCTCAAACTAACACCATTGCTACTCAGTAATTTGGAAAGGTCCTTTACTGCAGACTTTCCCAGTGCAATACATCTCTTGATCTCCTGACTACTACTAGTACTAAGTGTATCGATTGTGGATTGAAGTAAGATGCAGTTGTTAATAATTTCAGTATTTTCTCCATCTATCATGAGGTTGCCCATCAAATAGTACAGTAGTGAGAATTATTGCTCCACCGAAGAAAAATGAGTAATCTTATCCTGTGCAATTAACTGCCTCTGAAAACCCACAAGAGAGTCAGCTGTGGGTTAGTTCCAACTCTGTGGTACACAACAGCAACAACAATCATGATGTTACCCATCGATTAGTCCAGTGGTGATAATTATTGTCTTCTTGACATTGAGATGCAATCCACTTTGAAGGCTGTAGTCTCTGATCTTCTGCAGCAAATATTTCAAGTCTCCTTGACTTTCAGCAAGCAAGGTTGTATCATCTGCATGATGAAGATTAGTGATAAGTTTCCCTTCAAGCCTGATGCCACATTTTTTTTCAAAGAGTCTAGCTTCTTGAATAATTTGCTCAGTATACAGATTGAATAATTCTCAAATAATTATTTGAACAGCAACACCTGTATTTATGAACCCCAAACCATATCTTGTTCTCAAGCTGGACTTGACCCTCCAGGACGTTTAGAGAGGTACCACCTTTGGATTAGGAGCATGATGCACCAGAGCTCCACATCTCTCTCTCCCCCTCTCATCTATTTATCAAGGATTTGTCAATGGTTTCATCTCAATTGGATCCACAATCAACTTGGTACCAGGAGGTAAGAAACAAAAGATGAGTTGTATTGGGAAAAATCTGCTGTCAGGGGCTTCTCCAGAGTACTAAAGAGCAATGGTGTCATTTTACACTTCAGTTTAAAGACTGAGATGTCCTTGATCCAGGCATTGGATCTTTACTATTACTTGATATAGATCTGAAAATTGGACAGCAACTAAGAATGACTGAAGAGGAATCAATGCCTTTGAGTTGTTGGAGAAGAGTATTGAATATCTCATGTACTGCCAAGAAAACCAATCTTGAAGCAAGTGAAACCAATATGCTCCTTGGAGGCAAGGATGATAAAACTCTGCCTTACATACTTTGGGCCTGTTGTAAGGTGCAGAGATAAGATGTCATGCTTGGAAAGGTGGAAGGTCAGCATAAAAGAGGAAGACTTTCAATGAGATGCATTGATAGAGTGACTGTAATAATTGGTTCATATGTGGTAGAGATCGTTCAGATGGCATAGGATAAGGAAAGGTTAAGAGCTGTTGTTCTTAACCTGTGAGTCATAGTTGATTCCAAAGCATATAGCAACAGCAACAATTCTGTCTCTATACCTATCTACCTCTATCTTTATCACCATCTCTTATCTCTATTTTAATGACTCTCTCTATCTTTTATCTCTATCTCTAACTCTATATGCACCTTCAATATTATGAGAATTAATATAGCTTTGTTGGTACAAGACTGAATTAACTTTCAAGGTATTTATGAGATGATTTAAAAAATTTTTTAAATTGTGATTTTAGCAAAGGTTTACAGAGAGGTTGGGTTTTCTTTCATTGTTACAGACTTTTCCTTCCTTTTCCTCCCCCTCCCCAGTCCACTTTGAAGTGCATCTCTTATTCCAGATGACTTTTTTTTTTGTTTTTTTTTTTAACAAAAAAACTTGAGCGTTGGAAAACAAATTTGCCTGTAGCTTCCAGCTTTATTGATTTAATTTTACAAAATATGTTTATTAGTAACTATTCTATATTTGAGTCAAATATATAGAAATAAAATTTACTCTTTCCATATCATGTAAAATGTAACATTCTAAATAATGATTTAATTCTATGAAATTACACTTTGAATAAAAATTAGGTCAAAAGTATGATGGGACTTGGAATTTTTCCTTGTCTTTTTCTTTCTCATCATACACTGCTTCCTTTTGCAGAGACAGGCTCTTTTTTACTGAGGGAAGCTAGAAAAGGAGTGTGATTAAGTATTGTTCTTGTTG